ATGTATGTAGAAGCGGACGCGGCGACCTTCGACAAAAAGGTTGAAAAAGGAAAGCTACACTGGGAGCACTGGTGCGGGATAGTTCAGCTGGACTGCAACTGGTTCAGTGGTCAAATGGTTCATGGCAGAGTCCTAGCGGGCCATGGCTCAGGAGCCAACGAAATGGGCAAACTTCTATTTCTGTTCTAACATATGTCCCTGTCTTCGCTTTGTATGCTTCCTCCGTTGGATTTGAATGACTTCTGGCCACTTTTCCTCTACAAGATCTACACTTAGTTTCTTCATTTCCAATGCGTGCCTTCTCCAAAACCGCTTTCTTGCATCCAATGCAAATCTGCGTCCCTTTGCCACTGCACGTGTGTATGCTGGCACAATCTGCCTGTAACAGTTGCATACGCTCATTGCATACTAACTTGACGTGTGCAGCGAGTTTATCATGTACATGTCTTGGAAAGAGCATCAAAGGTGGATCTCAGGGGGGGCTATATATACCTAGAACCTAAGTTGGAGTTAAACACATGGTTTTTTCTTATCAAAGCAGAGGTCATATGGGTTCTAGGCATAGTAACGAGGATGGACTCAATTGGTGCTAATCCGATGGAATGAACGTGAGCGTTCGGTAGACAGACACGACCTTCGGAATCCCTTCGGCTGCGTGACTGAACCCCTAAGGGTCAGAGTCAGCCGCTCCAGGGGGCTTTGTCAGGCACTCTGAATCATAATATGCTTCTTACTTGCTTCTCACGAGCTTCACCCTTCCCAGAGTCCACTCTCAGAGTTGGAATGGCCCCCCCCGGATGCATCGGAACTCCACGTGAACTCGGAAAAGCGAGCGGTGGAAGGGAGGCACCGCTCCCGGGTTCCGATGCCACGCTCCGGGTCGGGCGTTTCTTTCACTGGCCACTGGCGAAGTTTGCTTCGGTGTCGTGAGCTGGCGGTGCTTGAAATCAGAGATGATACTGTATCTAAGAGGCTGTGACAGCGTGACGTTCCTTTTTCTTTTTCACGGGGAACGGAAAACACCGGACTCTTCCGGGGGTTTGGCATGATGTGGAACGAAGGAGAGTCGAACATCAAGAGATGAAACACAAAGAATTACGAAAGTGGAGAAAACACCTGTGCATCATGACCGTCAAAGGCAGGAACCCATGGGGAACCCTGCAGCCCGGGCGGTGCCGGACGAAGTGCCCACCACCGCCGAGAGGGCTCGGCTTAAGCAACCGAGCTCGGCTCAGTTGCGCGGGTGTGCCATTATGATGGCTCCCTAGAAGCACCTCGTTTGTCACGGGTTTCAGAGAATGTGCAATATACACTAAGATTCCATGACAACAAATGAGGGTTTTGATGTGATTGGTTGCGATGTGGGGTGCTGGATTCTTCTTGTCACACTCCTGGAGAGAAAACTCTGGGCAAGAACTTTGCTGCATGCGAACACGACCCAAAAAGGGCCCGCGCTGGTCTTGCGACCAGATCGGGATTTGTTTGTGGCTGGGGGCTCTCTACCCTTCTCACCGAGTTCCACTGTGCAAAAGGCAACCCCTCCGGGCCCCCGGAATCTCGAGTGCCCCGCAAGGACAGTGCCGCGCGACCTCCCCCCACCGAGCGCGGTCGTGGGTCCTCCAGGAGTCCGTTGGGCCTTTCAGACTTTGGTTCTGCTGGCGCTCCGTGCGGAGCTGGTGCCCAGGGGGGTCGGTCGGCGCGTCGCCGGAGCTGGGGGCGGTCGGTGGTTGGTTCACATGATGGCGCCGGCCGGGGCGTTTGGTCGCCCGAAGATCTTGGAGGGGACGGCACAGAAATATGGCTCAACCCTCCAGAACAGAATTTTCTGTGGGTAAGTATGTAAGGGAACTTCACAGTGAGTTCTTGAAGTTTTGCTAGGCCCTTCTGACCTGTGTGCTTCTTTCGAGGAAGAACAGATTCCAGTGCCAACAGTTTTCTACTTCCTGGTGTTTGTCCTTGTCAGTCAATGCCTCTATAGGCCCAATACCTTCACCCCCCGCAATACCTGCTCTTGCGCTGCTCTCCCGACGTCCGCCGGCGGGGCCAGGCGCGGCGCAGCCACGACGATGCTGGCCTGCTCAGCGGCCGGGAGGCGGAACGCGCCTTCGCGTTGCCCTGCGGGCCACTCGGCGGCGGAAGGAAGGTTTGGAAGGTCGGAACTGGTTTTCGATGGTCAAGGGTGGATCGTTGGATCCTTCCCGCCCAAACTTGGTTTGAAACTCCAGTCTAGCTGTGAGTACTCACTATAGATGTTGCGCAAGTCAGAAAGCTGGGCCAGTTCTCTGGGCAGGCGTAGACACCTGTGGGTTGTCCCATCTCATTCGACTTAGCAAGGGCTACTTTGCAGTGGCGGAACCGCGTGTTGGTCGAAAGACCCTGAGCCAAGACCCTGTGGCTTTTCCTGGCTGAAAACGTATGCAATCGTCGCACTGTTCCCAAACAGGGATGTTTGAGTGGACATGCGGAAAATGGGAAAACAACCACCACCAAATGGGGTCTAGACTTCCAAGACCATTTCAACAACCATGCTGGAACCTGGTTTTGTAGTGTAAAACCCCTAGTTGCGCGCTATGAATCTCAATGGCTGGGCCACACCTGAGCGCCTGGGTGGGGTTGCTTTCGCTGCCGCCGCACCGCCCCACGCACCGAGTCTCGACGTGTGCACCACGTTGTCGGGCCTCACCAGCCCCCCCCAACTTGCGCCGCTGCGAGCCGCGGCGTCCGGGGGCTCAGAAGGTCGGGACGGCGGAAGCAGATGAGGGAAGCGAATGCAGAGGGGTTTGAGGTTGCATTTTGGGAGGCTGGCGGCATTGGTGATGAGGTCGTGGTGTTTTGGGTGTGGCTGGTCCCTCTAACTGAAGTGGTGAAGAGTGGTGTGAAGACGAAGACTTCTTCCTGGCATTGCTGGTGGAAAGCACATGGTTTCTTGGTTGACCCCCGAACCGCGCGGACCCTGAAAACGAACCACGAGCGAGCTTTGTGGAGGACCAACGGGCTTGGACCTTCGACTCCCGTTCGACCATTAAAACCATGGTTGAGCTGGTTTTTGTAGTAGAATCCTTAGTTGATTCGGTAAAGCCTATGGCCTATGTTGTTTAATGGTTGTTGGAAGCCTAGGGTTAAGATAAGGAAAGCCTCAAGAACAACCAACACATGCCTTTTTGTCTGCCAGGTGCAATGTTGAAACCACTCTTCCATCAACGGCCAGCGAGCTGTAACTCCTTTCTTGCTGGCATGATATGGCATGATATGGCATGATGGGTGCCCTCAGGTGGAGTCCCCGCTACGGAGCGCTACGTGGAGGTCCTCGACGTGGATGGCCAGGCAGGTTCCGTGCGAGACGTTCCGTGCGCGCGACACACACCGCGGAACAGGCGAAGAGGATTGGGGGAGCAGACTTAAGGCCCAAGCTGGGGAAGTGAGATAGCACCGCTACTAGGAGCAAGGACGCTACTAGGGGCTCCTGGCCGGACTACTAGGAGCATTCTTACTACTAGTAACAAGAAGCTACTAATTAGGGGCTCCTGGCATCGCTACTAGGAGCAAGGACGCTACTAGGAGCACCGCCAAATGAAGAGTTCCAAGCTCGTCAACCCAACTGAAGCTGTGGCCGGAGCTTGGGATGGCTCAGAACACAGCGAGTTGTGGCTTTTCCTGGAGAGACGTGGTCTATGAGTCTGTACAGTTTTGGGAGGGTCTTTCACCATCCCTAAATAAGTTGGGGAACAAGACCCAACAAACCTTTCAAAGCCATTTGATCATCCACCCAAAAGTTTACTTTGCTGCTCTTTCTCAGGAAAAGAGAGGCTGGCCGGCTGGCCACAATGCTGCGCTCTTCTGAACCCCTCTGCAGGTCCTGTGTGAGCCACGAACTCTGGAGCAGTGCCTGGCGATGGGCCTGCTGCTCGGCAGCACGCAGCACGCTGGTTTTCACCGCGCGGTGTGGTTTTCACGCGCGGAGAAAAAAGGTGATGTCATGAGGATTCAAGGGGATTCACTATTGAAGTACTCTACAAGCCTATAATATACTATCCTAGCCTATATACTAATAAGATCTAATAAGTTAAATTGAGCATAATGGATTAAAAAGCGTAAAGGTAATGATTGAGCTAATGCTGTATATTCAGTTGCCAACTAATTGGTTATCAGGAATCTATTTGGGTATCAGATTTTGTTGTTTATCGTTTAGTATCTCTTTGTGTCGTGGCTCACACGCTTGGAACAACAATATATGCAATTGTGAGAACCCACAAGGAGTGACTAATGGACACCCGTGACCCCTCAACCTTTCAGGGGCAATTCATAGACACCCCCTCAGGGGGGCCTAGCATCTAAAGTATTATAATTCATCTTAATTCGAAAACAGAATCCAAGCTCAAGCACCCCAACACCATCCCAAACGACCCCGCGCGACCCAGGCGTCTCCCACCCGACCTCGGCCCCACCGGTCCGGTCCCGAGGCTTCACCGCGCGGTGCACGTGTGGCTCTGCGTGCCGCGCACCGGTGCGTTGCTCCTGCGGCGCTGGAGCCCGGAGGGCGCGAAGCACCCAGGTGCGCCCAGCTTCCGCGTCCGATGCCGCGGTCGGTGGGGCCTAGCTCTTGGGGAGGGCCAGGTGCTGGAGTTCCGGGCAGCTGCTAGCTCCTCTTGAAAGGAGAGCATCATGTCAATCAAGCAAGAAGGCTAGAGTAGAGTTTTTTCTTGTGTTGAGTTCTTGGTGTTGGCTCATGCGGGAGGACGATCTCCAAATGAGATCGTCCCATGGCGCCAAAACAGCTGCTAAACCTCTAACCTTGGGATGAGGTTCTCAACGATTCACTGCACAGTTCCAAGGCAGGACTCATGGTATTCGACAACAACTTCAGGGCCCTAGGCCCTTAGTGCTTTTTGACTGCCCTGCTTTAGGACAGAACAGCCAGAGGGGGGGGAAGATTTACCCGGAGGCGTGCCCCAACCCGGCTACAAGAACGTGGAGGAAACTTGACTCTGGTGGGTTCGGCTGGACTGGGATTTAGTTAGAGGTTGCCTATCAGTGGTTTTGTAATGTACTCCATACATGCTCATACAACCGCAACCTCCTAGAATCCCAGAACTCTTGCCTCAAATCCCGTAATTCTATTAACATACTGTACTATTTGTACTCTAGTTTTGGCCAAGCTGCACAACCACTTCACAACTGGCAGCCTTAAGCCAACAGCCTTGAGGGCTAGCTCTGCCAATCTCTACGGCAAGGCTTGTGGGGCCCCAGTTGCCACACCGAGATCCACTGCTATGGTGACGGCGATGGCCATGCCGCAGAGGCGCTCTAGCATCGGACATGGCACCAACGGGGAACAAAACAGGATGATGGACAGGGTGTGGCAGCCATCCAAAGGGCAGCCGAGGATCCTCTTCCACTGAGGCTTTCCGAATTCCACGGAGGCTGACAGGGTATGCTAAGTTACTAGTAGGTACGATGTTTGTTCATGATTTATCACCCAGAAAGGGTGCCAATACAGGATGGCGACCCTCGCTGGATTTCCAAGAGTGTCAATATGGAGACCCGTCATACGGAATCGAAGACGCTGCTTCATTGTTGTGTTTGCTGTGGGTCTGTTTGCTGTGGGTCCCCCGCGTCCCTTCTCTCTCGCGCGCGGCCTCTGCAGGTCTCCACGCAGAGCGCGGAGCGGGCGCTGCTGGAGCAGCTGGGCTTGGAGGCCTCGGAGCTCGGAGAGCTGCAGCACTGCGCCTCGGAGAGCGGGTTGGTTGTGGGTGCCCCGGTCGGTGGGTTCCGGACGGTCCAGGGAGAAGCTTGTGGGAGCTTGTGGGAGGGTAGAGCAGGGAGTGGAGTGGTGGAGAGCTGGGAATTTGGTGACTGCTTGCTGCAGGAGAGCTGCAGGTTGGAGTTTCAAGCAAACGTGGGGGCAAGTGGTGAATGAGAGTGGCCGGTTCTGTCCATGTTTCGTCCATTTTGGGTCAATGGAGTTGACGAGTCCAAGATGTGTGGGCCGGGTCTTTTGCACGACGTCACCTCTTGCCTTCTTATCCTCTTATCCTTCTTGGAATCCCACACGGAACATCGCCACGGTGACCGTGGGGGGGGTCAACGGTGAACATCACCGGTTTTCATTTTTTTCACAAGCTGCAGCACTGGTAGTGCTGACTGTACCGAAGTGGATAGGTCTACACGCATTGGATGACATACAATTCGAAAATTCAGGGAGCCACGCCCGAACAGATCTTTGCACCCCAACTATTGACTTGGCCCGGAGCCACCTGCTGCACAACGCCTCCAGGCTTCTCCTGTCAAACAAGCGATGGCAGCTGCAAGGACGCGTCGTGGTTGGGTGGTTGGGATCGGGAGGGCAAGGGGTGGTGCTGCATGGCAGGTGATTTTTTGATATTTTTTGTTATGAAACTTCTAGCTTGGAAACGGAGAGACGAAGCAAGCAAACTCTCCGCTGAACATCCCCAGTAATTTTTGCCAGCACTCAACTGCAATGATTCATCATGAATACTAATACTCCTGAGTCGAACCTTCCCTCAGACACCCTACTGGTCAGACTAACTTAGGATTGACACCTCCAGGAGCTTCTAGATGTTTACTTGGCGCCGCTGAGCAAAGCAGGGCTGCCACCCTTGGGCTTGGCACCTGATGAGGAGGCCGGAACGGTCGCATCCCCTGTAGCTTCCGGAAGGAAGGGGGTTGGATGGCGACCCGATGAGGGGTGTGGCATGTTTTATGAATGTAGGGTGTGCCCTTTGCCCGGTGGTGGCGAACATGCTGGGTGACTTTGGGGATGGAGATTCATAGGCTCAGCTCAGCTATTCTTACTTTAAAGATGGCCACCATCTATTTTCCAGGTTTTGTGCGCCACCGTCAGATGTTGTTTTAGGTGGAGTGGGTCTTCTTTGCCCACGTGATGTCGCCGGACTTCGCGCGCACCGGACGCTTGCTGCTCGGAGGCAAACACCAGGAGAAAATTGAAGAAGCAGAGAGCTGTTGGAGGGTTGCAATGAGTCCTGGAACCACGTAATTTCATCCAAACTTCAGGGACGGGGGCCCACCGAACCCAGCTTGGCCACCGTCACGTGCGAACGGAATTCTTTGCAAGCCGTGTCACGGCCGATTCGCGTCAGCTCCCAGGTTTCATCACAACAACGTCTACCGCCGAGCGCTGGCACAGCGCATGCGCGACAACGCCATCCGCGAGGATGTGACTTGGTTTTCCCTGCGCGACTCGCGAGAACTAGCTGCCAAGCCAATATGACACATTTTTAGGGCTTAGAGCCTGCTAGCTGCTAGGGACAGCGCGAGTCGTGGCAGAAGAGGTTCTTGGCCGAGCAGGACCACCTGATGTCAGCGTCTTGCTGACTCCATGGTATTTGCCGAGGTGAGTGTTTTTTTCGCGCGCATGTGTGGCTTTTGGCCCCGCTCCTTAGCTCGACGACGAGGTGGTATTTCTACTTTTCCTTACTCACTGGACCAGCTGCCCATTGGAGGAGGCATTTCTTTGCTGTCGCAAAGAGTTGCACACTGACTTTGGTGGTTCGATTTCACCCTGGTCCGCATTGCTTTTCTTGGTTTGCGTTCTATATTTTTTTCATCCCATCTTGGTTGGCGTCTTTTCCATCGTCATCTTGAATCGTCCCATCTCAGCAATTCTCTCTCTCTCCCTCTCTCTCTCTCTCTGTCTCTCTCTGTCTCTCTCTGTCTCTCTCTGTCTCTCTCTCTCTCTCTCCCTCTCTCCCTCTCCCTCCCTCCCTCCCTCCGTCCTTCTCCTCCTCACAATATGCGGTATTATTGTTGCTATTTTCTATAAACCCTGTATTATATACAATATATAATATATCATATTTCTCGCACACACATAGACATACAGTGACCGTGACCCCAATCTACATCAAACATTGTCGTTCTCTTAAACATATGTCGACAGTATTTCGTGTCTCTACATCCACATCGACCTTCGCAACGCTTCTTCGCTACCAGGTGCGCAACGCCTTCGCCTTGGACCTGGACCAGGAGTTCCAATCCCCGAACCTGGCCGCAGCCCTGTGCTGCGAAGCGCCCAATGTGGCTCGGCGCCGGGAAGCCGGCCCATGGGGGATCCTACAACTCGTATCAACTCGTGGTGTCACAGAGGTGAAGATGGCGCTTTGAGCAATGAATGGCACCTTAGATGTGTGGGCTCGTGTGTTGAAGCACTTTGGATTTGTGATCATCTAGATTCTACGTCGATAAGGTCTATTTTTTAAGTGTAAAAGTATGCAGGCGAACGCGTGGTGTTCTTCAGTGCTTCTGCTTCAAGCACTGTCTTCAGTGATCGGTAGAACCGGGAGACCTGTTTTCTGAAGACATGGACGAGTAGTTTTGTGATGCGTTTGGGTGGATGATCAATGTAGCATGGGATTAATTCGCATCCAGACCCCCTAAGTAAGTTCTGAGTCGTGGAGCAACCGTTGGTTGTTTCTGGTTGGGGAGTCTTTTGGGTTTGACGGTTTCGGTCACACCCACGGACGCTTGCAGATGCTTTTGCCTTCATGAGAAACTCACAGGGAGACCCCACAAGGAGATGGTGACTGATCAGTTTCTGAAGCTTCAAGAGCCTTCCGTAAGATAGAAGCAATGTCCCATTAGTATCATTACTCCAAATGCCATTCAGGATCTCTTGAGTCTCAAAACGGGCATTCACTTTTCCATCTCTTAGCACTTCGGCGCCAAGTGCTGGCCGCATCGGTGCAGATGGCCGCAGCTTCCCACCGTCGCCCCTCCACGCCGCGTCCCAGGCGGCGACCCAGACGGGCCCCCCGGATCCTCGTGGCATCCTGAGCCCTGAGGGCTGAAGCCGAGGGCCGACGTCCTCAGCGGAGGGGGGCGAAGCCGAGACTGGAAGGTGAAGCCAGTGGGAAAGACGAACATGAAACACCCATCAACTCGGTTGATGAATACAACCTCCCATATTCAGACCAGCCATTCCGGTAGCGTTTTTTTTTGAGTCATCAACGGTCCACATGACTTCCGGGAGTAAAGGTCATGTGAACATCGGGATGTTGATCAAGGGGGAGAAGCTCCAGGATGTTCAAGCTTGGCAAAAGATCAGGTCCTATGAACTTCTTCTGGTTTGCACCATCATGAGCCCCCAAAGACTCGGAGATGACCGCGAGACTCAAGACAGGAAGAATAGGAAGAACCTCCATCCACCATTTTATAGTTCTTTTTTCTCGGAGTGGTACTTGGTTTTAGGACACCGTGGTACTCTGAGGAGCCTGGAGCTTGGGGAACCTAAGTTTCCAACTCTCCGCGCAGCGGACCCGCGTGCGTCTCGCTTCCAAGAAGCCGAAGGTGCGGGCATCTCGCAAGAGCTTTAGTTTGGCAGAGAAAAGCCAGGAAAAGGGGAGGCCAGCATTGGTCAAACAGGAAAACCTTTTGGATCATGGAGATTTTAAGGACTGTGGACGTGTTGAAGACGGCGGGTATCTTCACCTGACTTGGGGATGCACGACATGGGATCCAGGGATCGCTCGCTTCTTCCCCAGGCCCAGCTTTGCAGATGAGTCATGTTTAAGAGCTGTGGATCGCTGCCACGAATATCAAGATGTGACCACGAACAAAGGACCTGAACATCCAGATGCAGAAGAAAAACAGCAAACGTCCGAGCAACCTTGAGAGTCTTTATTGCCCGGCAAAGAATCCAGAGGACAACAGCTCCGGCTTTTGGGTGCAGTCGGACCTGGTTTCAGAGGACAACAGCTCCGCACCTGACATTCACGTTTCCCCACCGCCAATGGGTCGACCGCCGGCCATGAGCCATGTCAAAGATCGGCGTGCTGCTGCTGAGCAGCGTTTCGGGTGAGAATGTCAAAGTACCGCACCCTGAGGTCCGTGTCGTGGTCGTCAGTCGCGAACGGCCGCCATGTCACGTGCCGGTGACCGAGGACCTTTTTGGAAAGAGAGGGAAAGAACAGAACAGAACACCCTCAGTTTTGGGGGGCCCTCAAGGCTTGACTATCTTGACTCTTTGTTTTTGCGTTAGTGCGAGGTCTATTAGGTCTGTTTCCCTGCCAGGGTGCATCCCTGGCATGGGAAACATGTTTAACTTTTTCCCAGCTCCTTAAGCAAATCCAAGACTGTGACTTGTTCTTCTGCCCGTTGAAAGCTACTCAAGTCCACCCCCACTTCCACCGGCAACACTCATGAGACATCTTTTTTTCAGCCCCAAACACAGCTGCACCTGCGAGCACATGTTCCAACTGGCTCCCCGGTCCCCGACGGTAGATTTCTATCTACTGAGCGAAGCCACCACACCACCCAACTCCATGGTTCTGCAGGAGTTCGTCAATGTCCTGGCCGGAACGGCTGGTGGACAGAACGCTGGCACACATCATAGCACAGGCGCCGATCTCGGGGAGAAGCATGTGGTGGCGCGGTTCGGCCCGCCTTGGCGGCCGTGGTGGCGCGGTTCGGACCGAGTAGTGTGGGACTGGGAATCGTCGTGTTGTTCGGACCGAGAAACCCACAAACACGGTGTCACTGTGACTCAGGGAACGGGTCACAGACCTGCATGACTCTCTGACCTGCCACGGCGAGGGCGGGGTCCATAGCGACAGTCGAGCAACATCGATCCGACTCATTCGATGATGGACCTTGTCGTACCCCTTCCATCATATCTGGTGTTCATTTCTGCTGCTCGATGACGGGTGATTGCAAGGCTTCCTGTGGGATCAACGTTTTGACCTCCAAATCACCTCGGCCACACCGACCCACCCCGGGCAGTTCAGCGTCCGTCCGGGCGCCGGCTTCGGCGTTCGGTGCCGCCGGAGCTCCAGGGAATGTCCTGCCGCTGGTGGCGCGGCCCTGGGGATTCAATCACTGGGCGCCTCAGAGTGTGGACCCGAAGATCAAGACCAGCTGGTGGTTCCTGCGGTATGCACCGCGATCTCGAAATCGATCTCAGGGATGAATGGAGGGTCGCTGGTATAGCTGCTCGCTTCAAGACTCGAGGGGTGACTTGACCTGCTTCCTCAATGGGAATGATAATCTGATAGTGTAAACATGTATAATATATAACAACTTACATACATAGGTAGTATATATAATATATAGTATTTAATAAGGTTTGGACTGCCACCGGTGCAGACCACAACTGGCTTGTCACCCTTCGAATTCAGAACTTCCTCAGCCAACATCAGAAAAGATTCTTCACGAAACCCAGAGGTGCCTTTTCGTCGGGACGTGTCTCTCCCGTCAGTGATGAAAATGGCCACGGATGGTGCGTTTGGACCGATGCTCCGGACGAATCCGGATGTTCCGGACGAAAGCCACTACTGTAGTTGACTGAAACCAGATGAGCATCAGTAGTCAGACACTCCGAAATGGAGCTCCACAGCGAGTCCCAGGTTTGACGCCAACAGCGACACCTTCTATGGCCTTCGCTGCACCCACCAGCCATCTCCATGGATTGGAGACTATGCGTGCCTTGGAGGACGTGATGATCCTCTCCCTCTACACAACTCGGAAACGGCAGCCGTTGATCTGCCTTCAGATTCAGAATGCATGTAACAAACAATGCATTCTGAATCTGAAGGCTTGGGGAAGAGCTTTTAAGCTGGTTCCGCGGAATCTTTTCCGTGAGCCGCGAGAGTTTGGTTCTGCGAGCCGCGAGCCACGTGGCATGAAATAAATAGACTGCTGGCAGATTGTCCTCTGTTTCACACCGACTGAGATTTGTGGGATGGGCCCGGGATGGTTTGGTCCAAACGACCTCCACACCGGAACAGTCGGTTTGACATGGCGGATTTTGTGATGACAACCACGCCTGTTGTGGTGTCCTGGTCCGCGAAGCCCCATGAAGCAGATGACTGTCTTAAAACCTCGGATTGTTGAGCAGGCACCAGACAAACTTATGAAGATAGAATACTACAGTAGGGTAAACAATACTTACACCGGCGAGGGAACAACCGCTTTACCATGCTTTTCCTGTAGAAGGACTGCCTGAGCCCTGAGCCCTGAGCCCTGAGCCCTGGGCTGTTTGCAGCTCGCTCTCAGGTGGTTCTTGCTGGTCCTTGAGACGGGGTATCACATGAACCACCGCATGGGCTTCACCAGCTACTACGCCGAAGGCGCCTTAAGACCCTTCTTCCTGGACCTGAAGCTGGGGCCCTATGGGCCTCTTGGAAGAAGCCATGAAGCCATGGGTCCGAGACGGAGACGGATTGGGAAGCGGGTTGATGTGGAGACGAAGATTGACGAAGTTGACGAAGTGTGGTGTTTTGTGACCATTTTTCCTGTCTATTCATGGTGGTCGGTAGATGCCTTGCACTTCAATCATGGTTACGTGGGTTCCACTACCTGTTTGGTACTCGGATTTCAGGGTCATCCTTTCACTGCCATGCAGTCCACGTCCACGATGATTTCAGGGAGTGTATGACCCCTTGACCACAGGCTTTGGACTTTTGTGATGTTTGTGTCAAGCAATGGCTCGGGCATCGGAGTGATCCCTCCCAAAGCCGCGCGGCCCAAAGCATCCATTCACCACAAAAATGTGGTGATGCCTTTACTAAAGGCACAAGAAGTGTGCGAGGGTGCATGGACTGCGTGCCTCGTGTTGGGGCGCCCAATGCTGCAACAGATTCCACCCACGCACAGCTTCAGCGTAAGCCCTCCGCAGGCCATGTCATTGCCTTTTGCATCAATGAATGTGAGTTTGTGTCAAGGACATCAATGCTGGCTGGGCAACACAGCCACAGTTGCTGGTAGTGAACGGAGTCCGTTGACATGATGCCATCGGGCATGTGCGTTTTCAGCCCAAGATACACGAGGCACATGCTCAAAAAGTATTGCAAAGGCCGCTCCTTTTGGATATCCCCATACCCTGTAGGACAATGGGAGGAGGGACTCATCTTCGGACCGTTCCCAAGGTGTTCCTTTCCGCCCATGTTCGGTGCGGTTCCTCGGTCATTTGCCCCTCTTCCCGTGTAGCGACCGAGGCACCAGCTGCAGATGACGCCCACGAACCACGGGGGCTTGGTGAAGGTCACCTTCCCAAGTTCCGGGGCACGGAAGCCGCTCGGAAGCCACTGGGAGGGGTCATTTTTGGAGATGTTTATATCTTTTTGACATTTACGTACAATATATTGAAATATACACTGTAAAAGTCAGTGACTGTAAAGAATAGGAACCGATTGGTAGACCATTGGTTGGTGAATCGCATGGCATGGTGTCTTTGAGATGTTTCTTGCAGAAGAAAGACGTTTCCTGGCTTTTGGTAGCGTATACTAGCGGCAAGCAATCATTTGGTGTGCGCCAAAACTGGAGGACCTGGGTTGACCACTGAGAATGAACAGAAGAGACTACCAGGGATGTCAACCAACCGATGCTGGGTCATTTTTGGATCCCCAAATCCAGATCCAAAACGATTCGTCAAGACAAAGACCTGAACGTCGGGCCACCCCCTTCCCGTTCGTGGGCCACGAAGAAACGCCGTCTCCGCCGAGGCTTTGCGCACAGATCCCCAGCGGTGTCCCCAACGACAAGGAGAACGAAGGGGGGTCGAAGTGAGAATTCGGGGGGGCTCCGGAGGGGGAGAGGTATCAATCAAAAAGCAGAGGCCTCGATCCGGATGGGGCGAGCCCCTCGAGTCGCGAGCTGAAGGAGGGATGGCGAACTCAGGCGAACGATTTACACGAGCTAATACGGTACAGTACTAATGCGGTATTAATGCTGTGGCATATTGTGGCCGATTTACGAAACTTTGAAAGCTGGCTGGGTACACGAGTTAAGCTCCTGATCGTGTAAACTCTTTGAGTCGATTGACGTCAACTTTGCCTGTTTCAAAGCTAAAGGAGAAGCGCCCCCGCACCTGCTACTAGTATCAAGTGTATCGCTACTAGCAACAAAGGCATCGCTACTAGTAGCTTCTTGTTGCCAATAAATAGTAATGCACTTGTTACTAGTAGAAGCGCACCCGCACCTGGAATAGCATTGGTGAATGGCCTTCCGCCGTCACAAGGCGACACGACACGCCTTCTCTGCGCCTTCGACACGTCATGTGACCTTCCCCGCTTCGGGTCAGGGCCTCATAGGCCTTCCCCACTCCATCCCACTCCTACTCTTTCCCCGCCCATTTGGCTTGCTCAAATTACAGATGATGACCCTGTGAATTCTGGTGTGAACCTGGTGAATTTCGACCTACTTGTTAGGTGAACAAAAGTGCCAATCTCCTCTCTGGAAACAAGCCTTCCCCCGTTATGCTTCTAAAATGGATGTGCTGAGCGTGAGGATGAGAAGCTGGCAAAGGGAGCGCAGAGCACGAGTGGCTACTGTCGCTTGGCGTGAAAGGATGGGCCGCTCAGTAGGTTTCCTCAATGTCCGTCCGTCTTCAAACGGAACTTTCGGAACGCTGGAGCACCCCCCAAGGTCAGCATGAAGTAGACGGATCGATTCTTTCATGCGAACTACACTAGTTTTCTTTGGGTTGTTCCATCATAAACGGAAAAACATTTTAAAAACGGATCAACTCCAATCGCCAAGAACGGACCGCTCCTCCCATGTTGACGGACCGCTCCTCCTGTAACCACATGGACCTCGTTGTTTTGCCGCAACCGGACGCCGAAGCGAAAAGGTCCAGCGTCAGGACAAACCCTTCCGGCAGAGGTCCCTTGGACTGGGTCTCTTCCGATCTATGTCACCCAAATGTCTTGAGTCCGAGCAAGAAAAAGGGTCCAGTAGAATCCTAGGTGGGGGGGAGCAACCGAACATGTTATGAGTGAGAGTTACTCTGTAAGACACTTTTTGGTGGTTGGTGACTTAGGTAGAGGGATCACTGAACACTGTCAGGTTTGTATGTAGATCCTTTCGGAATCCCCATCGCTCCAGCCCCCCTCCCAGGCCGTGCTGGCGCGGGCGGCGTGGACCTGGTCTCGCGGCGCTTCGCCGACGGGGCACCGCCCAGTGGACTCAGCTTCTTCGTGCGCATGGAGGCGGTCGGAGGCGACGTCGGGCCACAAGGGATACTGCAGGGCAGAGAGAAAGCATCATTCAAGAAGCTGGATGGCCACTTTCACATATGTTGCCAGGTCATTTGCTAGCACATGAATTATGTATTCATGGATTTATGGACCAGTCATTGTTTAGGGATTTTAGAGTAACATTAATGGCGGCCAAGATATATTTATAATATTTTATAATATGACGTAGCCATTGACGTTCATTATCATATAAATGAAATGATGAATCATGAAAAGTACATCCATAAAAGATAAATACGATATCACCATTAAATTCATTTGAAGCAAAGAACGAAACGGTTCCGGCTTATGCAGCGTGAGCATCTTTTAATGTAGCGTTACGGCTTTGCGTGATAGTCCAAAGTTCTTTTTTGACTTTGGTGTCCCTGTCCGGACAGCCTGTTGGCTGCAGGGATTCTATTCTCCCCACCCCTTGAAACCACCTTGATCAACTCTTTACTCACCAAGCGCAGAACTACATACTGTAGACGTTTTGGCGAGGCTTGTCTATTCTATGTTTCTTCTTCCCTTGCCCTTTTTGGGACACTGCGCGTGCTTCGTCTCTTCACCTTCGCGACGTGAAGTCGCGAACGATGCGAAACGGGGTTCTCGATCACCAGCGGACCGGACGCAGGGATGCGTGGCCGACGTTGCGCGGCCCAGATGCGTTGGATGCGTGGGTTGAGTCAGCAAGTTCAGACATGTACAGGTGCTACGGTGGAGGAGCACTTGCTCGCGGACTGCTTCGAGCAGAACGTTGGATACGAACCCATGAACATGCCAGGCGAGTGGGAGAGGAAACCATGTCCAGTGGTCGTGTGTGTGTGTGTGTGTAACCCTTGGAATCATAGGGATCCTTTCGGATTGTTTT